GATGCTGGGATGGGTGATGCGATGATGCGATGGGGAAGAGGGAGAATTTTTATTTTATGGGGGAGCCCATCTGGTAGGTTTGGCGTCTCATTTTGTCGCGAGTGCCCGGCGGCGTGACAATGAGCGGTGGTAGACTTCTCATGCTGCTGGGCTGGGCTCGCTCGAGAAATCGACCTTGTCTCTTCCTCGCGCGCCAGCACAAGGCACTGGCCTCTACAGCCGGGGACGGGCAGTCGTGGGAAGTGGGTAAGCGAGAAAGGCAAGAGCGAAGGGGAAAAGGGAAGGGGTGGATCGCCCTTGTCTGGTCACGTAACCAGACATGGTCTGTGCTCTTACCTACCAAACTCAGGTCCCTTCTCTGTGTCCACCTAAGCCGCCCTCGCCTGCCCTTGGTGTCATGTCTCTGTCCCAGGCGGCAAGAAAAGGAGGAGGGAGCTCGGCGCCTGGGTTGATCCGGCCTGCTCCTTGCTTCTGCTCCCTCTTCTGCCCCTTAGGCCTCAGGCATGATCTTCCTTGTCGTCACCCAGCGAAACATCCTTCTTCCGCCCATCCCGACTCCCAAACATCCTCGGGCCATCACGACGGAGACGGGGAGCCCTGACCAACTGGCTGGCAACAGGCATCCTCCACTCGCATCCTACCCAAAGTGGCCAAGCGCACCTGAAATCGTCTCTGGCGCCCTCATCTCCAATCATCACCATCATTGGAGAAAGGGCCTTGCCCTGCCCTGCCCTGTCCCGTCCCGCCAGCGTCAGCGTCAGCGTCAGGTCTTTCTTCTCCGAACACCACGGTCATCCCAAGCAAGGTACCTTCTGTGGCCCCGTCAACGTTAAAGCCGTGACTGGCAATGGAGGGGGGGCCAACCGGTGGATTCTCCAACGAGTCGCAGCAAATCAAGCTTCGCCCACCAGAACCTCTGACCCTGATCCACATGGAACGCCAGCTCATCTCATGATTTGCACCTCCATGGAATGCCTACCAATCAGTGGTTCAAGTGACCATACTCCTCCGCCATGAGAGAAACATCTTCCCAGTCTCGGCATATGTTTCGCCAGGGTTAGGCAGCCGAACAGTGTTTCTGTGGCCTCCACTTCAGTCGTGCAACATCTTCCTCCTGGAACGCCTTGGTGATGTGGTCTTTGGACGCCCAAGTTCTATCTTCGTCTATAGAGAGCCCGCACTCTGCGCCGAAATGTGTCAGGCTTCGCAAACTATCTTGCTTCCTTCCGCTGACCAGGCACCCCACCACCTTAATAACCACATCGACCACGTCGGCATTGCCAACCCCGGACGCCCAGGCCAAATTGTTTTTTTTTGCCGTCGGACATGCCTAGACTCTTGCGGACACAGTCAACTCTAGATCGATTGTAAATCGATTGTCCGCTGGCCATCGCATTTTTTTCCGTCGTTGAGGAGAAGCCAATTTCCATCGGGCTGGTGATGAGGATCGGTAGGTAGCAGAGCCCCCCATCTGAGCTAATCGCTCCACGAGGCACGCTTCTTGCGTCACGCCCTGACCAGGACATCAATCGATCGTACTCAGAGGCCCCAAAAGAGAGAGAGAGAGACTGCCAGCTTTTTGTGCACGCGGCTCTCTGCATGCAGCAACTTGCGCAGCGATCGTTTGTCAACTCGTCCGTCGTGCATTCCATGGTGCTCTCGTCATATCGTGCCAACATCATGACATCCGAGATTGTTATTTTCTTCCTGTGAATCTGGACCTTCGTAAGGGCACATGGCACATGGCAAACTTGGCAGTCGTCCTTGGCTGAATTCACAAAAGGTCACATCGAGAGGGGCTATGAGACCTTGGCGAGATCTTTGGAATGTGTGACCAGCAGATACTGGCAACGGCTCCTGGAATGCGTTGCTGCGCACCACGCGACGGTCAAAGAAAGTGAATCTATAATAGGTGCTCTTCGACGGGTCCCTAACTGCGCAGCCTTGCCATTCATTATCATACCCAAACAATTTGTTATACTCTATCATGTCTTTCAAGAACGTTGCCAACAGCCTCGTCGTGCTTGCCGCCGCGTTTCAAGTCTCATCGGGCGCGGTGCTTCGTGGGATATCTCTAGAACCCAGCTCGCAGCACGGCCAGGGCAATGCTCTAGCGCTGGCTGGTGGACAAAACGATGCCCCTCTGGAAGCCAAGGATGTCCCCGACGGCATGTTTCACGGCGGTCACCGTGTCCCGACTGCCGTTTTGGAGATTGTCAGGCGTGCTTCTACTGCTGGCGTTGCGGTGTCGGAACAGGAGCTGAAGGAACTCATCGCGGACGTCCAAGACGTCGAACAAAGGCTCTCCGCCTTGATGAAAGGCCAGGCTGCTGCACTGACATCCGGTGGCCAGGTACCAGATGGAGCTGCCGCGGGCACAGGGTCGTCTGGCTCCTCTGGCGGCTCCCTGCCCGCGGATGCCGCCTCTGACCCCGACACGCAGGAAGGCACAGCGACGGGCGCTCCCGACTTTGTGGTAAGTGGTCCTGTCCCTGATCAGCTAATGACCGGTGTAGCAAACTCGGCAAACTCGTTGGCAGCGACCTCGACCGCGTCAGTGATCCAGGGGGTCGACAATGGCCTCGGCGCAAGTGGTCGCGATTTCGAGACAGTTGTCACGTCGTCCGTCAGGGCAGGCGCCAGCGGCTGTACCTTGACAATCACACAGACCTTGACCGAGTACATCTTTGACGATCCTACACCACTCCCGGTCGCAGCGCCGTTGTCCTCGGGTCTGGAGGATGTCTCCGCCCTCGTAGACGACCTTTCTGCGTCAGAGAATCTCTCTGCCAACCTAGAAGCCATTCCCTCGGGTGTGGACGACACAGCCCTTCTCGACATGGCACTTGCGTCGCCTGGCGTCCCTGAAGCCAGCGCATCTCTGCCTTCCAGTGCTGCGGCTCTCGAGGCCGCGCCGGAGGCAACACTTCCGCCTGCGCCTGCGGAGGTCGTGGCACAAGAAGCAAGTAGCGTGGCCCCGAGCGCAGAGCCGGTAGCTGCTGCTGTCAGTGCTGCACCGAGTGGGCCCGACATCATGACTCTGGCATTCCCTGGAGACGACGCTTCAGCGATTGCCTGGAGGACCATCGCTCTTCCTTGAAGTTAGTTTGCGGGGGTTCGTACGCATCTGACTATCACCTGGCGTTGAAGCCTGTATTGACAAGACCATCAGGGACACGACACTTTATGACAGGGCAGACAGAAGCCTTTAATGGGACACGACTTGATATGAAGGTTAGGGCGGAGGAATATAATCGACGATGGTGGGGGAGGTCTCTTAGAACGACCGGCATATGATCAGTCGTCTTTTCACTCTCCAGGGCAGCTTCATGCTGTCTATGACACTGTAGACCACCCCACGCCAGCGGGGTGCGCTTGCAAATCGAATACACACTTTTTTTTTTGTCTCATCCAACTAGACTGTGCCCTTGCATTCATCGTTATCAAGGTGTGGGCTGCGAAGCAAAGCGAAGCAACGCTCTTTGGGATCTGGCGAGTCGGGGCCGTGGGGGACCTTATCTGTGGCACCCTGGTCCGAAGCCGGGCATGCCAAGAGGCCGGAACTCTTCCGGCCACGGCCGGCAAGTGTCGGGGGTTATGTGGGTCCTGACTCCAATCTTGCGCAATCCATTACTCAACCTTCCCCCCCTTTTCCCGCGCCCTTTGTCTCGCTTCCGTCCGTTCACCTTCACATCGTCGGCTCAGATCTGGGGAATCAGACTGAGGTAGATGGTCAGCAATGGCCAGAAGGAGGAACTACACGGTCCATATATACGTTTTCGAGACTTCCAGCCGCTGCGACAAGTTTTGATCGCACAACACAAGTGGCGCCTGACGCCGCGAATGCCATGCTCGCTCAGAGGCGGACCTCAGCGACAACAGCAGACATGCCTCACTCACTGCCCTGACCAGAATCAGCATCCACGAGTCAACTGCCTGTCCATCTGGCATACGTGGGATGCTGGATAACCGCAGCTGACCGTCCACGTCGACAGTAGGGTGTTTGATATGACAAACAGAAACCGGAGGGCCCGAACATGGTTTGGGTGGCCTTGACCTCTCCCCCTCACTTGAGGCCGGAATGCTTCCGGCCACGATGTATATTAGCGAGTGCGGCCAGCCAGAGAGTGGTGTTGAGCGCCTGACTTGCAAGCCTCTCCCACACGCACCAAACCCCCTCCCAAATCCATCATCTTCTCAAATCTCTTCTCATTTCTTTTGTCCCAGAAGGTTAGGAGACCTGTCCCAAGCCACAGCCGTCGACTTATACACACACACACACCACACACACATTCTCCCTTCCATCACGATGGGTTCGCTCGGTGCTTCGGCGTCCTTCCCTGTCCTCGACGACACTCGTCCTCATGACAAATCCCTTCCAGCCTTCATGGTGTCAACCACCAGGGGCTTCCTGCCCCGCGCCGACCCCGTCGTCGCCCTCCCCTCCGAGTTTGATCCCGTCGAGTCATTGCTGTCCCGCATGCCCATCAAGCTGTTGGATGGATCGCCTGGCTTGCTGGCCAACAACAAGTTTGGTGACGCAGTCAAGGACGAGCTGCCGGACCTGACGGAGCACATTGAGCGCTACAAGGACGACTTGCCCGTCATGAACGCCCTCTACCGTGACTACTCCTTCCTCTTGTCGGCGTACCTGCTCGAGCCCTGCCACGAGCGCTTCGTCAAAGGAGAGCCGTATGGTCTGGGTAGGGACGTGCTGCCAAAGCAGATTGCCCGGCCGATGGCGCGCTGTGCTGAGCTGTAAGTCGGCATGATTCTCTCTAGCATGTTTCTCCCGAGCTCGAGTCCACAACCACCGTGGCCTCCACCGCCGAGCATGGTGCCGACCTATCGAACAACAGTCTCTCCTCGTCAAGGACCAATCACTAACAGCAACCAGCACCGGCTTCAAGCCCTTCATGGAATATGCCGGCTCGTACGCCCTCTTCAACTATCGCCTCGAGGACCCCAAACAAGGCATGGACTACGATAACCTCCGCCTCATCCGCGCCTTTGAGCACGGCCTCGATCCCACATCCTCCGAAGCCGGCTTCGTGCTCGTTCACATTGAAATGGTCAAGAACTCGGGGCCCCTCGTCAAGGGCGCCGTCTCCCTGCTGGCACACGCCGCCAACACGTCGCCCAACGCGGCCCTCTCGCTGCATCAGCGCGAGGACATCAACCAGTCGCTCGCCAACGTGCTCGCGTCGCTGCGCAAGATCAACGCGGCCATGGAGACCATGTGGGCCAAGTCAAAGCCCATGTCCTACACGTCGTTCCGTACCTTCATCTTCGGCATCACGTCGCAGTCCATGTTCCCGCAGGGCGTCACCTACGAGGGCGTCTCGGACGAGCCCCTCTCCTTCCGCGGCGAGTCGGGCGCCAACGACTCGATCGTGCCCCTCATGGACAACCTCCTGCAGGTGACCATGCCCGACACGCCGCTGACGGCCATCCTGCGCGACTTCCGCGAGTACCGCCCCAGCAACCACCGTGCCTTCCTGGGCTACGTCGCCGAGCGCGCCGCCGAGCTCGACGTCAAGCGCCTCGTCCTCGGCCTCAGCCCCGACGGCGCCGTCGCCGCTCAGCCTCTGCCCGCCGCCGCCGACGAGCGCGAGGCCCTCCTCGAGTCGCGCCGCCTGTGGATCAAGATCCTGCACCAGGTCCGCGACTTCCGTTGGCGCCACTGGTGCTTCGCGCGCGAGTACATCCTCAAGCGGACGAGCCACCCGACCGCCACGGGCGGCAGCCCCATCGTCACCTGGCTGCCCAACCAGCTGCAGGCCGTGCTGGCCGAGATGAGCAGGCTCTACGCCGACGTCGGCGGGGCCGAGGGCGACGCCGCCCTCGGCGACGAGCTGGCGGACGTCATGGACCTCGTCGAGAGGCAGAAGGATACGCTGCAGAAGGAGGTCGACAAGTACTGTGCCGAGAGGGGCGTGAACAAGGCCGACCTGTAACGGAGGCGTGGAAGCAAATGGGCTCTTATGATTTATGAAATGTCTGAATATGAAACTTGTTCACAATGATTTGGTGTTTTGATTGGTGCCAGTTACAACAATGCGTGGACAGTACCGGGAGCATTTCAGGGTAAATTGAGACGGCGCGGGGGACACGGCAAACGTCGACGCACCTCGCTTGCTCCTTCAAATTTTCTGATACTCATGACTTGATCAGTGAGTGCTAAGTCGTAACCATGCGTGAATATTCGGAGAGCTCCCCGGCTTTCCCACTCAATTTGCACCTAGCTTTTACGCGGCACTTTAAAATTGTGCACCTTCGTTACGTTCATGCAACCAACCAACCCATTAAAAAATGCCCCAAACGGCCTGTGTGCACCTAGACTTGTCGTCTAACCCAGAAAAATCAGCAGTTCATCGGGACGGAAGAGAGCAGCTTTATGAGTTGATATTAGGCTAGGTATGCAACTATACGGCACAGTCGGGCCGGTCTCTGTTATACATTTTATTCCTCCCCATGCAAGTAGATCGTGTCGAGAGCTAGGCCTTCTCTGGGAAATATGTCACCATCATGCGCTCCCGATGCCTGACGAGCCCTGGAGAGGCCCTCAGCGCTTCGGCAAGCCGGCGGTCGACCCAGCCGAGCCTCTCGTCGAGGATGACGCCCGTATACGCGAACACCTCGGCGTCGAACAGTCCAGCCTCGTCGCCGCCAGAAAAGAAGCCTTCTCCACCCGCTGTACCGCTCAGCAGCGTCTCAAGCGCTGCGAAGCCGGCAACGGCATCCTGATATAACGCGTCGGCATCTATGTAGGCAGCCTTGGTGGACGCCAGAATCTCGGCCTCGGCGGCGGAACGGACCTGGTGCTGTAGTGTCGCGCGCACAATCGAGTTTGACGTGCAGGGGTTGACGTAGAGGGCCTGGAGGAGAGGTGTGTTGGTCGGGTTGACGTACAGGGCGTGGAGGAAGGCCGGGCGTAGGCGGGCGTGTAGGAGGGCCAGGTACGCTTCCTGGCGGGGAGGCAGGTCGTCGGCGAGAGTGGGCGGTGTTTTCGCCGGCGAGTGGGATACGGCGTGGTTGAGGAGGGCGTCACCAGCGGGGATGGGCAAGTTGTTGGAGCGGGTCGGCGAGGGAGGAGGTAGGAGGAAGGGCAGGGCGCCAGAAGGCGATGCGTGGTTCGTAGACGGTGTCGTCGTGAAGGGCAAGCGGGCGATTTTCAGCACAGTCTGGCAGCAATGTTAGCGAACCAGAGGACAGGTAAAGGGGGACGCAAGAGCCAAGGGGGCACCAACCTGCCACTTGAGACACGACGGGTTAAAACTCGGCCTGCCATCCTGGGCACCCTCCTTGGTCGTAAAGATGTAGAGTATAGGCAGCTCGCGCGTCGTGTCGGCAGAGGGCGATCTCCGAGGCAGGTCGTTGGCCGGGTAGACGGCCAGGGGCACGCGTTTGAAGAGGTTCGCGATGGGAGAAGGGACGGAGAGCAGGCTTGTCGGGGCCGGCGGAGCCCGTGTGGGTTCGGGCATGGTGGTAGCGGCGGCGGAGGAGGAGAAGGGGGAGCAGGAGGGAGGCTCTCTGTGTCTTGGCTAGCTCAGTGCAGGGCAGCCAGGACAGGTCGCAGATCGCAGATTTGTCGCCGGCCTGTATGCAGCCCAGCTCGGATGATGGGCCGAGGGGGAGGGTGGGCGCAAAGGCGGAAGGGTAGGGGGGAAAGGTGGCCCGTCGAATGGAGGCTTGACCCTGACCCTGACACTGATGGCGACGCTGATGCTGGTGATGATACTAGTGTCGACCCTGACCCTGACCTTGACCGACTCGTTTGAGCGAGGGGAGAAGCTGGAAGAGCGTGCAGCGATTTGCCAGTCACCTAGTTAGGCTAGGGCAGATGAGGGGCTTGCGATGTGGTTGCAGCCGGAGGCGGAGGAGCGGCAGACGGGCCAGATGGCATAAGAGGTGCGTTTAGGGGTCCAGATTCAAGCTGGAGGCGGCGAGTCGAGGCCCTTGGAGGCGAGGGCGAATGCAGATGGGATTGGTGGACGAGACTCTGCGATGTTGTCAAGTCGGAGCTGCACCCTGCGTCTGCGCCTGCGCCTACGGCTGTCTGTGCCTGAGCTTGCACAGGAACGACCCTGGCCCTGGCAGCATCGGTGGCACAGAGTCCGGCATTCCGTTGCTGACATAAGGCAGCGCCTGCCCTTCTTGAGCAGCTTGCTGAGCAGCTTCCTGGACAGCTTGCTGAGCCAAGGCGTAGGCGGAGACGGGACCTGCTTCCCGGGGCCCACGTGGGGGTTATTGGCCGCCGTTCCTGACAACAACCTCGCGTTCTCATGTTGGTTGGTTCCTGCTCCGCTACCATGTACTTGCGCTGTGCAGCCGTCGTCCCCTCGTCCTTCCTGCTCTGGGCATGGGGCGGTGAACGGTGAGCGGGAATGACCACCGATCAGTGGCTCCTGCCCCACGACCTTATCCGCCGTCGGGGAAATGGCAACGACGATTGTACGATGATTGTGCCACGATTGTGCCATCACCATCTCTCAAGGCGCTTGCTTGCCTGCCTGCACCCGCTTCTGCAGCCCGCCCCCTCCTTCTCCTTCCCCGTCTCCTCCCCTGCCCTGCTCGCCTGGCTGACCCTGCCTGTCCTTTTACCCTGCTGCCCGTTTCGTCTTCTTCTGCCTCCTGCCCCTCACGACAATATCGCCATGCAATCTAACGCTATGAACATCAGGGCCGATAGCCCAAACCAACGCAAATCTGGCTAGCCTGAGATGACTTGACTCCGAAACCGAGGAGCAGCACACTCCGGCGCCACCTGGGCTCGTCGACGACAACGACGACGACGACGAGAGCCCGTCCCACCAGGCACAGGTTCGATTCCTTCTCGATCCGTGTGCCCGCACCTGCGCCTGCAGCTCAGGGTCTCATCGTCATGCGGATGCAGTTGCCGGTTTTGGGAAGGAGGAGGACGAGCACGAGGGGAAGGGGGGGGACACCTCGGCATCCATCGACCCATCCAGCTCTCCACATCCATGTTCGTTGTGGGAACAAAGAGGCTGGGCGCAGGACCTTCGAAATGGCTTCCATGTGGCAACGAAGAAGAATGGTAGGTCGGTCGGCGCCAGGGCCGACGGTCATCCTGCGAGCACGTGCTCGTGCTCGCCCTGACAGCCCGGACGAGAGAGAGAGGGGCCCCAGGCGGGCCATGTACAACAGTTGGACAGATAGGCGGATGTGGAAGAGGGGAAGGAAGATCAGACAGGCATAGGACAAATCTAACACCGAACCCTAACAACGGCCGCATCATTCGACGGGAATACTCTGACCGAAGCTACCCCAGCGTTGAACGCTGAACGTCCTGTCTTCCGACATGTTCCGTGTCAATTCCACGCGAAGCACGAGCTTGGCGGGGGGCTCCTGAGTCGGGGACATGATAGCAATCCGGGGCTGCTTTAACCGTCACCAACGACGTTTGTGCGGCGTTGCCTCGGAAAACGTGCCCTCACAGCCTTCGGCATACCCTTGCTCACGCCTCGGTCAAATGGCCGGGAAGAAGGCCGTAGTAAAGCAGCGATGCCGAGCGGGGAGCCAATTGCGGAGAATAATCCGCGTAGGCAAAATGAGAGCCCAAAGGACCCCAAGTCTCGATACTTTGTCGGACGACCTTCCACCGCCCTTCACCCCACATGTTACGACGGCTTTGCTGCCTCCAACGCCCTGAAGCGGTCGCTCGAGCCGTCCATCCGCCCATGCTTTTGACCCTTGGCACGAGAAGAATGCCGAGCCCACGGCGAGAGTGGGGTGCATCGCAAGTACCGGTACAATAGGTCCCCCGTCTGGCGGCCTTTGCCGCAAGCATTCCCCTCGACCCCAGGCCATCCATCGTCATCGGGACCCCCCAAGGACCTCTTGTCGCATCGTGTCATTGGTCTTCCGGCCACTGTCAGATGGATCGGTCCACGAGAAAAAAAAGGATGCCGCCGACGATACAGCCGCGGGTCTCTGGGCCTTTGGTGTGTTCACGCCATGTCATGCCGCCCTGCCATGCCGCCATGCTCATCTTCATGCGGGCCTATTATCGCATCCTTCCCTATCTGCCGTAGCATGTACTGTGCATCGTGGAGATGAGCCGACTTGACTCGGAACGACTTGAATGCGCACACGAGATGATTTATCCTCTCTCCATGCCCCTCCGAAACCCCGAATTTTTTCTCTACTCTCCCTTCGCACCTTTGAATCTCGATCCTGACACTCTTGCCCTCTCATCCACCCTGCGACGCATACGTCTTGCCCTTACTCCAAGTCGTTTCTCCAAAAGTGCCAAACGTCAGCCAACCATCAAGACCAGCTTGACCGGGGGACACACACACACACTACCGTCCCGAAGCAGCCCATCACATCATCACTCCCACGCCTGCCAACCTATTTCTCAAAGTGCACCTTTTCTCGTGCACCTCCTACGCCAACGCCAACGCCAAACCCAAACCCAAACGCCCGAGCCGGCCCTGTCTCTACTTGTACCCGCGCACCCCGCGTCCACCACATTCGCAATTCCAAGTCACGTCTCATCCTGTCAACACTTACTCCCCCCTCCCTCTCACTCCTGGCTGCCACTCGTACGCCTCGGTCACTCTCCCACTGCAACATTCGACCACCAAAGGGAGACGCAGAACAAGAAACACTGCATAATCTCTGCCCATAACTATACAATCGACCAACATCCATCCCACGCCCATCCAACCACATCCCACACTTGCGACGCTCCTCGCAATTCAGCCTAACGCTTCCAGCACGCGACAGCACCAACCGGCGCTCTTGCCCC